TGTTCGAATGTCATAAACAGCCTAAAACTCTCTATAAACAATTGAATAAATATACTTTTATAATGGTAACAACAAAGAGTCATTTGACTCAATATACATTTGACTCGGACAGCATATTGTTTTAAGAGATTAGATAAAAAATATAAGGTACTGTCCGAATTTGCAATGTCGATCTATTTATAGCGTGGGATTTCAATCTGTTGCACCACCCGTTGTAATCTTCCCAGCTCGCCTGAAGTCGATGTCATTCGTACCTACACGCCTCCCGTGACCTTCAAGAAGATGCCATCCGGCTTGCCGGAATAACACGAGTAGTTACGAATGAAGTCGAAGTATTTTGTGGCGTGACGTCATCCATCGGCGCTAATAACCGATCAGGGGAGGGGCTTACAATTTCTCGTGTTTGGCCATGGTCATGGATTGTGGTTGTATGGGAAAATCTGTGCTTAAAATCATAGCATCTAAACCCATCACAAACTCTAAATGCCACTACGAACGATATATTTCTGTGAAAGATTGAAATATTCAGTGAAACTTAAAAACAACGACCACTACACTGTACTTGTTCACCTGTGGCCACAATGTTAATAGTATTATCTCGGTCAAGGTTGATTGTTTATCATGTTATGCAAGTAATGTCCTTCAAGTATGCATGACAAGCGAAATATATGCTAATGCTACCGAGCGTTTAAAAGATGATCTATGCACAATAAGCCTGTATTAAACGGACTGAAACCTGAAGACTCCTGAACTGACTCCCTCCCCAGCAACAACAAATATATGCCTTCATGCCAGTCCTTTGCAGTCTCAAAACAATAAGTCATTCTCACATTTTTACGATAAAGGGTGAATATGTATGAATATCAACGTCTTTAATATGAGGAACACTTGGCTAATCACGATACATTCTTTCTTATGAGCCTTGACTCAGATCAAGGACAAACATTATCGATTTTTTTATTGTGTATTATTAAACATCTACATCATGTGAACAATTTGTATTTTCCAAATATGGTCCTATTTAAAATTGTGACTTGATCTATTTATAGCGTGGGATTTCCATGAGGATTTCCCTCGACTCGATTAGAATGGTGTGCTTCCGGCGTATCACCTGGGCCGATGCAGACCTCGTCTTCTTTTTTTCTCCAACACATTGGCTAAAATAAGTTCCCAACAGCAATGGCTCCCATTCTCTGTCCGCTACAGCAGTCAACTAAATAGCTAACAACAAGCTTGGTTGATGTGATCTAACAGCAACAAACTCTGCTACAGTTATATGGTACTCGTCACCATCGTGATCTCTCTACAACAACGTTAACACTGTAAGGGGACCGAGGTTTGTCCAGCAAGAAAGGGTTTTGACAAATCGTGCAAACGACAGGAATGAATCTTTCATAAACAAAACAATGCACACATTCCTCCTCCCTAACTATACCGAATTTACGGAAAGATATGGGTCATTTTCAAAATTGGTAGGATTTTCTGTCCGTTCCGAATAATAAAAAATCTGTTAGTATAAAAGGATTATTTTGTTCAAGAAAACATATTTAGATGTTTTACTAGTCAGTAAATGTGGTATATATCATTAGTCTTGTCATTTTGAAATTAATACTTAACCACATTTTGGGGTCAAAATTGGCAGATTTGATCCGTCCGGATGTGACGGTCCCTAATATCAATGTTCACAAATAATGTAAATATAAATGCAAATAAACAAATTAATTCATATCATGCCAATTAGGATTGATCAAAGCATACTCAGACTGCATTTCAATTATTTTTTAACTTAAAAAGTTTTTTCTTCAAATTGTAACATGCTTGTCCTGTGATTCTGTGTCCTGACCGTTACCAGTGTATGAAATTCCTGCAATAATTTTCCCCTGGAGCTGGATTGTAATACTACTTCCTGTGTCTGTTTGAGCTAGCCCCTGTGGATGTGACAGCAGATGAAATAAAAGAGATTCAATACATTTTGAAGAAAACTGACAGTGGTCAAATAAGTATAAATGTTATGTGTCAACCTTAACTGTCCAGACCGTTACCAGTGTATTTTGTGTCAAATATGCTCTCTTTTTTAAATTTCAAAAGATATGGTGCCCAGAAATGGAAGAGGTGAAAGGCATGTCCTTTGAAATCTTTTTAGGATCATTCATTTTTATTTAAGATTTACTTACAAATTGTCTTAACCGTTACTGTCCAAACCGTTACCATTCTGCAAAGTAACGGTTTGGAAGTCCTTGTAACAGTCAGGACAATATGATTTGCATTTCAAAAAGTTATTCATTAATATTTGAAGTATAACAAATTTATAATTTCCTTGAGAGTTAAGATAGTTTAAGCATGGACTTGTACTGTTCAAAGAAGATTTGATGTAGTAGCATAAAAACACAGTCTCTGGTAACGGTTTGGACAAATAATAGTAACGGTCAGGACATTTCTTTAATAGATTTCAATTTTTTGAAGAATATGTTCTATGGTGTGATAATAAATTTCTATTTACTTATCTATCTGCTTTTGATAATAAAAAACCAAAACGAATTTATCACGTTAAGTTTCTATTTTCTATAAGATCTATAGTCTTTATGAATTAAAGGTAACGGTTAGGACAAAATGTAGTAACGGTAAACAACTTAATTGTATTCCAACCTTTAAAGATTGTTTTGGTGTAGTCTGTTTTGACTTTGAGAGATATGTAAGACTTCCATTTACTTAGAATATTGATAGGTGCTAATAATATGTTGGCCTTTGTATTTGATAAATATGTGTTACCATCTCACTATCAACAAAAGCTAAAGGTATCCAAGTTAATGAAAAGAAGTATATTTCGTGGAGACTAATATTGCACCATAATATCAACAACAAACTGACATCTATGCAGTGGCCTGTGTAGCATGAGCATGTGTACAGTATCATAGTTGTTGCAATACCTTTCAAAATATAAACTTTTGCAACATTTTACACTGATGTCCTGACCGTTACCAATAATGTCACAACCGTTACTTTTCATTCAATTTTCGTTCCCCAATTGCACTCTTCTTTAGATTATAAGTGATTTTTTAATCTAGACAGGTGTGTTTTTCTATTCTTTAGAAGCTACAGTTTGTTTTATTCAAAAAGCCTAAATTCATTCACAAGTTTTATATTGATATAACAAATGTCCAAACCGTTACCAAAGCATGGAAGAAAACATGTCATATTAGTTACGAGTAACAATTTCTATGACACATTTCACTGTCTGTCCAAAAAGGGTTAGCAGTTCAAGTAAATGATATCATTTTTTTTTCCTTTAATGTTACCTGTTTTCTATGTTGAATTAAACTGTTTAAGGCTTATGTCCAGCCCGTTACCATTCCTGTCAAACCGTTACCACTATTGTCCTAACCGTTACTGGTGTTAATTGATTGCTCTAATTAATTAATGATAATACATGAAACACTCCTCTTTATGCTGGTGTCATCAAAAGATGTTCTGGGCTTAGTAGCTGATGTTTATTTTAGACAATTTTACCTGTTGAAAGCTATATACATAATAATGTTTTAGAAAAATGCTATCATTTTGTGGTAAATAAATGAAAGATACAAAATAACACTTTCAAGATTCATGATGATAGTTTTACCTTCAAGTTTGATTAAGTCTATGTAAAAGCTGTGTCTGTCATCTTTAAAAGATTTTTATGAATTATATTTCAAAATCTATATTCTGACTAAGAAGTGGTAACGGTCAGGACAGTCCCCAACCTTGTAATTACTTATGTATCAATTAAAAAAGGTCAATGAGTACATTTCAGTCTGCATGTTTGTATTTTTTGAATAATTAAGTGTTTGAGGTTTAATTTGAATAAAAATTAAATCAATTTTGAGGAGTTTGATTTTACTGTAATAAAAGAATTGAAAATCCTACCAATTTTGAAAATGACCCATATACGCGTTTCAAAAAAGAATGAGTGAACAATAAACACATCGACATATTAACCATAGCAGACAGAACATTATACTGCGGAATTGGCACTGAATGGGCAACACTTGTCTGGCCTTGAAACATAATCTGCCAGTAACAATCGTGTAGTGATTGGCATCACAGTGGAATAAAGGGGTTATCATTTAGAGTGAGTCATGAAACAAATACTTCAGATTGATAATATATAGAGATATAAGACAGTATGTATGTGCAGTCATGCTTACATCGATTGCTTTGTACTTTAGGTATCGGGTATAGACACAAAGATTAACTCAGTGGCAATTAGTATGGTTTTTTTCGACAGATGGCGAAAGAGAGAGAGAGGGAGTGGGGAGAGAGAGAGAGAGAGAGAGAGAAAAGAGAGAGAGGGGAGGGGGGGAGGGGAGAGAGAGAGGAGAGAGAGAAAGAGAGGAGAGAGAGAGGAGAGAGAGAGAGAGAGAGAAGAAAGAGAGAGAGAGAGAGAGAAAGAGAGAAGAGAGAGAGAGAGATGAGAGAGAGAGAGAGAGAGGAGAGAGAGAAGAGAGAAAGAGAGAGAGAAAGAGAGAGAGGGAGAGAGAGAGAGAGAGAGAGAGAGAGAGAGAGAGAGAGAGAGAGAGAGAGAGAGAGAGAGAGAGAGAGAGAGAGAGAGAGAGAGAGAGAGAGAGAGAGAGAGAGAGAGAGAGAGAGAGAGAGAGAGAGAGAGAGAGAGAGAGAGAGAGAGAGAGAGAGAGAGGGCGTCATTATTTATGTGCACTCACACCCTACCCCCTTCTCCAAAATCCTGGCTCCACCCTTGAACACACAATAGGCCAAACTGGCAAGGCTATAGTAGCTGATCTTGTCTAGCACAGTGGACAAATCAAAGAATGTTGATAACGCAAGCGTGACTCAGATCAAGGTCAAACATTATCGATGCATCATGTGTATTATAAAACATCTACATCATGTAGGCCACGTGTTTCGAGTACGACTGGCACCAGCATACACTCACTTGTGTTTAACATTCTCAAACACAGATAGAAGAACTGAAGTCTTATCATTACCTTATCATTTACCCAGGTACACTTCCCACGTGAATGTCCCCAAGTGGAGATTGCACAATGGTTTGACAGAAAACATCTCACTATAACTTCCACTGACTTGGTGTGGCAAAGCCAACACGATGACCGGCTTCTGTGGGGAATCTTTGATATTGGTAAGTGGTCTGTGATCATTGTAACTTAAGACAGATTTTGTGGCTTTCTTAGCAAAATTGCAACATCATCACGGAGAAATGGGCCTCGCTGATTCCTGATCAGAAGGAAGCTTCTGGAATATATTCAGAGATTTTGGGATTTAAGAACTTAGCATACATATATATGTGTATAAATATTTTCTTGTAAACCCACGTATTGTATAATGTCATTAATATTAAATAATATAATTGCTTGATTAAGTTTACTATATATATATATACAAAAGTCAAAAGTCTGAAGATCCTTGGTACAGATATCAATTTTTCATTTCTAACCGGTTTGTTTTGTGTGTATATTACATGGACCATGAATTCATTGTTATTTTACATACATGCGGGTGGTACATGTCAGGCGGTTGATGCAATACGAGCACAGGTGTTCCGGTGATAGAGCTCGCACTTTACATTGTTGTAAAAATATAATTATAGGCCATGCTATCTCGAAAGCGGTTATGTATACTTTGTTGACAGAACTAGTTTTAATTTTATTTGTATAAAGCTAGTTCCCTAAGCGTCTATCTGGTGATAAGTTTGTAATCTGATGTATTCTCCAGTATCATGTAGATCAGAAGACGTGCCTATTCTCCAAGATCAAACAGATTGCTATGTGATCCATGTGTATTCTCGAAGAACAGTAGACGTGTGTATTCACCAATATCAGTAGACGTATGTATATTCCAATATCAGTAGACAGTGTGTGTATTCTCCAAGATCAGTAGAGTAGACGTGTATTTCCAAGATCAGTAGACGTATGTGTATTCTCCAAGATCAGTAGACGTGTGTATTCTCCAAGATCAGTAGACGTGTGTATTTTCCAAGATCAGTAGACGTGTGTATTCTCCAAGATCAGTAGACGTGTGTACTTTCCAAGATCAGAAGACGTATGTATTCTCCAAGATCAGTAGACGTATGTATTCTCCAAGATCAGTAGACGTAGATGTATTCAAAAATCCAAGATCAAGTAGACGTATGTATTCTCCAAGATCAGTAGACGTATGTATTCAAATCAAGATCAGTAGACGTATATATTCTCCAAGATCAGTAGACGTGTGTATTCTCCAAGATCAGTAGACGTATATATCTCCAAGATCCAAGATAAGTAGACGTGTATTCTGTATTCTCCAAGATCAGTAGACGTATGTATTATGTACTTTCAAAATCAGTATGTATTCTCCAAGATCGCCAGTATCAGTAGACGTATGTTTTCCAAGATCAGTAGACGTATGTATATTCACCAATATCCAGAGATCAGTAGTAGACGTGTGTATTTTCCAAGATCAGTAGATCAAGATCAGTAGACGCAGATGTATTTTCCAAGATCAGTAGACGTGTGTATTTTCAAAAATCATTTCGTTTATTCCATGTCCGGATCAGTGCCTATTCTCCAAGACATCATTACGTGATGTTCCATGTTTTGCTTATCGCGAATGTCACTGAGGTCACGGTGTTGAGGACAGCAAGTGCCATGCACTAAGCCCGTGTGGCACGCGTGGCGAGGCCTCCACAAGGGAGATCTTCGGGAATAGGGTCTCACATACAGATGTGTATTTCTAACACCGGCATATAACACTTGAATCAGTTGAATGCAACATAATGTGATCCTTCATTCAGTGAGTGAGTGAGTTTAGTTTTACTCCTCACTCAGCGATATTCCAGCTATATGGCGGCGGTTTGTAAATAATCGAGTCTGGACCAGACAATCCAGTGATCAACAGCATGAACATCGATCTGCGCAACTGGGAACCGATGACATGTGTCAACCAAGTCAGCGAGCCTGGCCAACCGATCCCGTTCGTCGCCTCTTACGACAAGCATGGGTTACTGAAGATCAATATTCTGACCCGGACCTTCGCGGGTATGATCCTTCACTTATGGCACAGATTGTGACAACCACGTTGAGACTACGGAATCTATTAAAGTGCTAAAGTTCAGAAAAAATCAAATAATGTATCAGTTATATGGTAATTCACGGTGTTGTTGAAGGATGAGTAATCCCAGTGGTGCTTGATAACATAGCACCTAACATTACTGTGCAAAACGAGTAAGTTAATAGAGCGTATAGCCTAGTTTACATGTCCCTATTTACCCGATGGGGGGTAACTAAACCCCTTGAGCAATATGTAGTATTATGTACCCTGAGGAGTAGATATCATATAAAACATGTTCTCCAGGGGGTAAATATCCCATATCGATGGGAGGAGCAAGTTACGTTCCCATGTGCAACTTCGAAAATATCTGTCCAGTCCAAGCACATCTTTATATGGGGTATATGCTTTTACATCCAGCTTTATGCAATGTAGTCTCTCGAGGATGTAGAAACGTTCCTCTTGGAAAATAGATCTTAGTAGTGATGAATCAATTAAATGAAGTGCAATCGGAAACATGACTGTAATGAATGTCGATCCCCTCTAGTTGTGGTCTTAAGGCATTGAGCGATCTGCAGGATGATAGGAGAGGAGATGCAATTGCACACGTTGTCGACAACGATAAACCTGCACAGATCATTTTTCGTTCGGAGCTGTTATCCCGGGCTAGTTTAAGCGTTTTTTGGGGGGATATCTGTCTCTTCAAATACAGAAGTCCATCAGTGGGTCCACAACACTTTATTCGGCAGCTAAGTTTGCAATTACATGATAGTGCAGCAACGGCCAGGCAGCATCACAGAGGCGATCGTCAGCCCACCTGCCTAGCGCTGTCCGAGGGTCAAGTCCCGTTACATTAAGAATTCATTGTCTATATACTACTGACTGTCAGGCTGCCCTGTATCGTATTACGATACATGTATGGTCAACCTGCAGTATCCAGCATCCACCCTCATCCACAACGTTAAACTTCCGTGGCCAGCCGGCCATACTCTAAGGTTCATTAGGGTTAATTACACGCAGGCAGCTGATCTGCACATGGCCGTGCTGATGGTCATGATAATAAGCTGCTGATATTTCATGCATATTGTCAGTACTGTGATTTAGATTTAGATAACACAACTTTAACTTAACTCAGAGAATATACAAACATGTCTATATTTCCCGACAAAACCCATACCCCATCTAAGTGCCTACAACACTGTGTTTATTTACAGGCTAAGGGGCCTTCATAATTTATGTTTGCGGGTGGGGGGTGGGGTGTTGGTAGGGGAGGATAATTATGGAGAAGCATGTACAGTATGAATGACACCCACTCCCCTACAATTTATGTAGAAAATTGATGACGACCTCCCTAGTACATGTGTACTACCTCCCACCCCTCTACCTCCCATCTGCCACCTCCCACCTCCCTTCAATGATATATTCTGTATTCCAGGACGTGGACCTGCTGTTGAACAACACGTGGCCAGAGTTTCCGCCATGCTTCCATCACACGGTGCTGGTGTGGGTGCGGCGCTGCTCCACTTCATTTTATAGAATATCCCCCACTCCCCAACCCGCACACCCACCTCCCTTCAATGATATATTCTGTATTCCAGGACGTGGACCTTCTGTTGAACAACACGTGGCCAGAGTTCCTGCCATGCTTCCATCACACGGTGCTGGTGTGGGTGCGGCGCTGCTCCACTTCATTTTATAGAATATCCCCCACTCCCCAACCCGCACACCCACCTCCCTACAATGATATATTCTGTATTCCAGGACGTGGACCTGCTGCTGAACAACACGTGGCCAGAGTTCCCACCATGCTTCCATCACACGGTGCTGGTGTGGGTGCCCTGTGGCTGGTTGTGGCTCACTCTCCCAGTCTTCCTCAGGCACCTCATATCTCTCCCCGAGCGCCTGCATCTTACAAAACTTACAATAGCAAAACTTGTGAGTAGCCGATAAACTTTTTAAATGTGAAACCCTCTTTTCGGTATTCATAAACAAACTAAAGATAATGATGATTACAAGTATGCTTATTGTTATGGCAACCTAGGCAACACCTAAATATGATACAGGTACTTATTGCTGGGATGATGATCTGCGTCATCGGTGACGTCATCAGAGCCGTGTCTGGAGAAAAAGGTCTCCACGATATTTCTACCTCTTTCTACACAGCTACTGTGTTGAAGTTAACAACCTATGTAAGTATGACTGTCGATGTCGTTTCATTTTACCCTCATTTCTCTCATCACCATATTGGTGGGTAGCCTAGTGGTAAAAGTGTCACGCCGAAGACCAGGGTTCGATTCCTTCTGTTGGTACCATTAGTCAAGCCCATTTCGGGTTTACCCAGCCGTTCTGTTGGTGGAATATTATTAAAAGTGGCGCAAAAAAACCCTCATCCACTTGGCATCGACACAAAAAGAGATCGATTTTTTAACAGATATAACTTCCATTTTTGTAAACCTTGTCATGTGTCCATCGACCAGATTCTCAGCATCACATTAACCGTGTTATCAAGACGACGAGGCATCTCAAGTTCGTGCCCTCTCTACATATTCTGGCTGCTGCATATCTTGTGTGACGTCATCCCATTCTACTCACTCATTATACAATGGGTATGTATGTTATATGTTATCTGTATCTGCTTGATGTCACGTGTCTTGTGTGACGCCACCTCAATGTACACACTTTTCCATAGGACTGCACGCTATTACCAGTATACTGCAATTCAGAGCTCCAGATAAGATTTAGCTCATGTGGGTACTGTACCCACTGTATTTTTTTGGAGTGGGTATTATGAATGTTGAGTGGGTATTTCATTTTCCGTTACCCACTGCTTTCAAATATGTGCGTATTTCAGTCATTTTACTCACCTAAGTATTATGTCATTGAGTAAGTTTACTAAGCAGGTATGTTCTGACTTATGTCATACCTAATCAAAACCAACTTAAATATAATGGAAATGATTTCATACAAAATCACTGATCCTATACTGACAGTACAACACTTGTCCTATACTAACAGTACAACTTGATAGCAATCGATGTCTTTTTCATTACGCAAGCGATTTATATAAATATATTCCGTACGCATTTGTTTTAAACTTTTTGCGTATCTATCATTTAAAATGCGTAACTGGTACGCAACAATTATTTTTCAATGCTTATTTGGAAATTTTCTATGCGTATTTTACCCGGATACGCAGCTTATCTGGGCCTTTGCCAGACTGCAATATATTTTATAAAACATACGTATTGCAATATACTTTCTGACAACCGGTGTATTGGTTTCAAAAATATATGAAGTTTTCTGATTATCTCTATTATTTAAATCAAAAACTTCAATCAATCTTTCATTTGCAACTGGCGTTTCCCTTCGTAATTCATTGACCAAAGGGCATACGTACATACAACAGATTCTGTTTGTTTTAATAAAAGAAAATACAATTCCTCAAAATCAAATCTAAATTCGAGATATCTGTTATCACAGCTATGACGTTACTTTTAGAGCTTACGTCTATAGAAAATAGGCTCATTCAATGTCACTCACTGTCAAACACTAAAGCTCCCAATATAAACTGGCGTTCAAAAGAAAGTACACACCTGATTCTTTGGTAAAATATTTTCTTTAAAACGTCATTAATATTTAAAAAGTGTTTTGATTCTGCCTTGTCACAAACATTGTGCAAGTGTTTCCAAAACACCACAGATATTGTACCAAATTACAACATTGCTAGCAAAATATTTATGGCTTTATTTGGAATAGTCCCAAAACACCAGGTGTGTACTTTCTTATGAACGTCAGTATATCACAATACATATCGGAATACAAGTACCAGAATCGTAATGTATTGCAATACAATTTATTTGCCAATACTATCGAATCCTGGAAGGGACACTGTCGCGTTGTCAGAAAAACAAGCAAAAAGTGACAAAATTAACCAAAGCGCGACAAATGGCCAAAATATCACATCGTGTCATTGACGCGCTTCGGTTATTTTTGCGGTTCTGGTACCTGTATTCTACACAATAAACCTCTTATATATGTACTGGCTCATGCATGCCCTGTATGTCTTTTAATCCAATTGGCTTTGGTGATATCTTTTGAACATTTTTAAAAATATTTCAAGGTTTCTCCTAAAGTGCCCCAGTCATTGACTGTCCCATGTTTTCATGCAGCAAGGCAGCAGTGCAGTGGAATTGTCTCTCTTCTACCTCCACTACGGCTTCCTGCTTCTACAGATCGTCCTGTGCTCCTTCGCCGACAACACCGACCACGTCGTCGACAAAGTGTCCAAACGGGTGAGGGAGAGGTGCTACATCACTAAATGACTTATACACCCACAAATGTAACAGAATCAACGGTGGCGTTAACTGTGTAGATCGTGCATGTGATCAGTTCTAATCAAGCCGGGGCGGTGGGGTAGCCTAGTGGTTAAAGTGTTCGCACGTCGAAGATCCGGGTTTGATTCCCCACATGGCTACAATGTATGAAGCACATTTCTGGTCTCCACTGCTATAACATAGCTGGAATATTGCTAAAAGCGGCGTGTAATCGTACTCACTCATTCACATTCATACTACTATAATATGATTCTATTCCTTGACAATATGGTTATACATGTATACCATGACAGCATTCGTATATACCATGACAATATGCATATATGCAATGCCAGTATGCGAATATACCATGACAATATGCATATATACAATGCCAGTATGCGTATATACCATGACAATATGCATATATACAATGCCAGTATGCGTATATACCATGACAATATGCATATATACAATGCCAGTATGCGAATATACCATGACAATATGCATATATACAATGCCAGTATGCGTATATACCATGAAAATATGCATATATACAATGCCAGTATGCGTATATACCATGACAATATGCATATATACAATGCCAGTATGCGTATATACCATGCCAATATGCATATATACAATGCCAGTATGCGTATATACCATGACAATATGCATATATACAATGCCAGTATGCGTATATACCATGAAAATATGCATATATACAATGCCAGTATGCGTATATACCATGACAATATGCATATATACAATGCCAGTATGCGTATATACCATGAAAATATGCATATATACAATGCCAGTATGCGTATATACCATGACAATATGCATATATACAATGCCAGTATGCGTATATACCATGACAATATGCATATACACAATGCTAGTATGCGTATATACCATGCCAATATGCATATATACAATGCCAGTATGCGTATATACTGTGACAGTTGGCGGCTATATGATTAACGACATAACGACAATGACACCATACCGATCTGCAGATACAGATATATAGATATCCCAAACTAGAAATCCTTCACTATCAATCAAGGAGGTAAACCAGCACCCTGTTTGAAACTACCTACAATGAATCATGTAAAATAGAGTCATGCTTTCAGATTCCCTGTCCTGCTCTTAGGGCGTCCTTCTTAAACAGACTAATCTTCTCCTGGACATTCAGGTGCGTTCACACTATACACACATCATTTGTAGTCAGCCTCTTCTCGTCATGTATATATCGTCACACCCATGCCACGGGTGCATTTAAGACATGTCCACCTGATTAACACAACAGACAGAGAGTTGATACCTGCTTCTTCTCAATGCTGTACAGGGGCGGTGGGGTAGCCTAATTGTTAAATCGTTCGCTCGTCACGCTGAAGACCCGGGTTCGATTCCCCACATGGATAAAATATATGAAATCCATTTCTATTCATGTTGCTAGAATATTGCTAAAAGTGGCGTAGAACTAAACTCACTAATGCTCTCATTGCTGTACGCATTGACTCGCCTGGTCAGTAAATTGTGTGATCTGTAAGTCTTCCAGACATGATGTAGGGTTCATTCAAATTTTACACGGCGTTAGTAATTAATATGTTATAGATTGTTTTGTTGTTTCTCGATACAATAACTGCAGACAACTCGTGTTGCAGTACAATGCTGAAAGGTTGGAAAAGACCGCTACAAAATGATGATGTGTACGACCTTCCTCCATTACTGAAGAGTGAAGCTACCGTACCTCATTTCTTGGAGACCTGGCAGCGGGAGCGACAGAGAGCTGCAAGGTATTCCGCCATATATCTGTGTGTGATTTCTAACCGAGGTCTGGAAAGTATGTCTCTATGTATCTGTGTCTGATTTCTAACCGAGATCTGGAATGTAGGACTGTGTGTATCTGTGTCTGATTTCTAACCGAGGTCTGGAAAGTATGTCTCTATGTATCTGTGTCTGATTTCTAACCGAGATCTGGAATGTAGGACTGTGTGTATCTGTGTCTGATTTCTAACCGAGGTCTGGAAAGTATGTCTCTATGTATCTGTGTGTGATTTCTAACCGAGATCTGGAATGCATGACTGTGTGTATCTGTGTCTGATTTCTAACCGAGGTCTGGAAAGTATGTCTCTATGTATCTGTGTGTGATTTCTAACCGAGATCTGGAATGTAGGACCGTATGTATCTGTGTCTGATTTCTAACCGAGATGTGGGATGTAGGACCGTGTGTATCTGTGTCTGATTTCTAACCGAGATCTGGAATGTAGGACCGTATGTATCTGTGTGTTATTTCTAACCGATATCTGGAATGTAGGACCGTATGTAACTGTGTCTGATTTCTAACCGAGATGTGGAATGTAGGACCGTATGTAACTGTGTCTGATTTCTAACCGAGATGTGGAATGTAGGACCGTATGCATCTGTGTGTGATTTCCAACAGAGATGTCGAATGTAGGACCGTGTGTATCTGTGTCTGATTTCTAACCGAGATGTGGAATGTAGGACCGTATGTATCTGTGTGTGATTTCTAACCGAGATCTGGAAGGTAAACAATAAACGAATATACTCTGTCTGAGTTCAGATCAGAAGGTAGGACCGAATATATGCTCCCGTGCATCCATAATCATACATGTATCGACTACGTACGTCCCCTTTTATCTACGTCTGACATAGACCCGTGCAGATCCGGGGTAGAATAGGTCTTCAGCAACCCATGTGCTTGCCATAAAAGGCGACTATGCTTGTCGTAAGAGGCGACTAACGGGATCGGGTGGTCAGGCTCGCTGACTTTGTTGACACATGTCATCGGTTCCCAATTGTCTGGTCCAGACTCGATTATTTACAGACCGCCGCCATATAGCTGGGATATTGCTGAGTGCGGCGTAAAACTAAACTCACTCACTCATTCACGTCTGCCATAAGACAGAGAAATTAGAAGCAGCTTCATAGAATGCCCCGTTTATCTTAGTCATTGGTCACGCAATGAGAAACAAGATGCGCCCACGTAAGCGTAAGCTCTAACCAAGAACTGAAAGGTACGCGCGCATGTAGCTCAGTGAAAGCTCTAACCAAGAACCGCAATGGGCTTACAGGGAGTAAAGAGTTGACATACATTAAGGCTTCATATTTGAAATATTTTCTCACTCGGAGTCGACATGATTCAAACTTTAAGCAACCAATGGGTATTTCTCTTTGCAGATTGAATAATGCGTTGTCAAGACACCTTCCACGAGAAAGACAAAATCTTCTGGAGTTTTCCGAAGACGTTGACCTGCCACAAGGGAGAAAGAAAACTCTGCCTGATGTGATAATCAAGGAAGGCGCACATGCAGGAAAACCAGAGACATCCTCCCACAAGCCATCGCTACTACGCACATTGTTCCGGACTCATGGTTGTAAACTGTTGAAGTCACATTTGTTCAGGGTCGCGGCTGAGCTTTTCCTGGTTCTAAACCCCTACCTGTTGAAGTACGTCATCCAATATAAAGGCAACCTTTGATCAAACGTCAACATAACAGTATATAAATGCGTTCTGAACGTGTGATTAGTACAAGGGAGATTATGATCTTATAATTGTAAAAATCTAAGATCATTTATGATGGGAGTATGATGGCACAACTTTTGGAAAAATAATATTTTAATAATATCATAATGATTATGTCACTGTTGCTAATCAATACGTACGTGTCAGGCTCTCAATGACATATTGATTCATGTGACATCCATATGATCAATATCTAATGAATGTAATCAGCTCATTGAAGAATGCCAGCCTCTTGAAAAGAATGGTGCTTTAAAGAGAACCCCCCCCCCCAAGAAAAAATGTGTTTGCTTGAAATTTCAAGATATTAAACTGAAATTTCAAGGTATTAAGTTGACATTTCATAATAACGATCTTCCTGTCTTGAAATTTCAAGATCATTTTCTTGAAATTTTAACTTTATAAGTATAAATGCTAAGTTGAAATGTCAAGATAGCATCTTCCAATTTCAATTCAGTATCTTAAAATATTGTTGTTTAACACACTCAGTAATATTCCAGCCATATAGAGGAAGTCTGTAAATAATCGAATCTGGACCAGACAATCCAGTGATCAACAGCACGATCATCGATCTACGTAGTTAGGATACGATGACGTGTCAATCAAGTCAGCGAGCCTGACCACCCGGTCCTGTTAATCGCTTAGTGCGACAAGAGTGGTTGGGTTGCTGAAGATCAATTCTAACCCGGATCTTTACGAGATTCTGAACATGTTCAGGTCAAGTACAAGCAGGAGCGTTTACGACAGCCCTCACCGAGGTAAATGACATCCAGTTGAACGATATGTGTTGTTTCATACCTTGCAGGCGACTACTGTACTACGTGGAGAACAAGGAGACGGAACCTGAGTGGCAAGGTTATGGTATCGTCATTGCCTTCGTATTCATCAGTGCCATGCTGTCACTGCTGCAGGCCAGGAGCTTCTTCACTGCCGAGAACGTCTCCCTTAGTGTCAGGACGGGTCTCATGTCGGCGGTCTACAAGAAGGTGAAGCTGGGGCTTTGGATGGTGGAGCTTTTGTTAAGAAATATTTGTCTGGTGTCCCCTGTCGTGATATTGCTGGGATATTGCTGAAAGCGGCGTAAAATCTCACTCGCTTGCGCCCTCACTCACTCACTCACTGCTAAAATAGTTCAGTTAAACTGTATCTAGACGATCGTGAATCAGTTACAAAGAGTTCCATTACATTGTCTGAAGACATGATGAAATTAGTTCCAAGTTACATCCAAACATCACTCTCTGGAAGATGGGTGAGTGAGTGGGTTCAATTCTAACCCGGAACTTTACGGGTTATGAAATATAGTTTCTCGTATGTATCATTGATAAATATAATAATATGGACAATTGGTACAACAGTAACATTTTACAGTCTTTTAAGACATTTGTACATTTTAAGACGCTGGAATGAACAGAGTATTATTCTTTAAATGCTCAGGCTGTTACTAAGTAAAAGCAATGATGTCAATGTCAATGTCTAAGAGATATGGTTTACGTTTTTTTCACCAGGCCCTGACTATGAATAACGAGTCTCGGAAGAAGTACACGACGGGTGAGATCGTCAACCTGATGTCCGTGGACGTCCAGAGGGTGGAGGCAGCCGTCATGCAGATGTGGATTGTGTGGGGAGCTCCAATCATCTTCATCATCTGCTTCTACCAGCTGCACCAGGTCCTGGGGCTCGCCTTCCTGACCGGGGTGGTCATCATGCTGGTGCTGGCCCCCTTCCAGTACAAACTGTCCATGCACCATCGAGACCTGTTCAACCATCAGCTCAAGCGCAAGGATGCAAGGCTGAAGAACATGGGAGAACTACTGAACGGAATCAAGGTATACAACGCTCTATTGCTATTGTAATGCGATGAATGATTTAAACAATGGTAAATTTTCTTCAAAATGAATTGATCAATGCTCTGCTGGGGTTGCGTTGAATGATTTAAACAATGTTATAGGGTTTTTCTCAAAATGGACTGGGATTGCTTTGAATGATTTATGCAATGATATATTTGCTTCAAAATTGATTGTCTTTGCATTAAATGGTTTATGCAATGATATATTTTCTTCAAAATGGATTGTGGTTGCATTAAATGGTTTATGCAATGATATATTTTTCTCAAAATGGATTGTGGTTTCATTAAATGGTTTATGCAATGATCTATATTCTTCAAAATGGATTGTGGTTGCATTAAATGGTTTATGCAATGATATGTTTTCCTCAAAATGGATTGTGGTTTCATTAAATGGTTTATGCAATGATCTATTTTCTTCAAATGCGATATATTTTTTCTTCAAAATGGATTTGTTTCATTAAATGGTTTATACAAAGATATACTTTCTTCAAAATGGATTGTGGTTGCATTAAATGGTTTATACAATGATATATTTTCTTCAAAACGGATTGTGGTTGCATTAAATGGTTTATACAATGATATATTTTCTTCAAAACGGATTATGGTTGCATTAAATGGTTTATGCAATGATATATTTTCTTCAAAACGGATTGTGGTTGCATTAAATGGTTTATGCAATGATATATTTTCTTCAAAACGGATTATGGTTGCATTAAATGGTTTATGCAATGATATATTTTCTTCAAAACGGATTGTGGTTGCATTAAATGGTTTATACAATGATATATTTTCTTCAAAACGGATTATGGTTTCATTAAATGGTTTATGCAATGATATATTTTCTTCAAAACGGATTGGTCGACGCTGCACTGGGGTTGCTGAAGACCAATTCAGCACCCGAATCTTCACGGGTGAAATAATCCCAAGACCTTTGTTGTTGTGTTTAAGGTGCTGAAACTCTATGCCTGGGAGGGTTCATTTAGGGACAAGATCATGGCCATCAGGGACAAGGAGATGAAAGTCGTCATGAAAATAGCACTGTTTGAAGTCCTGCTCGTATTCCTGTGGATCGGTTTCCCAACACTGGTATGCCACTCTACATAATGTCTGATCCTTACATTAAACATGTAAATGGATGTGTAACGGAATATGCTGGCGAAATTGACATCAGCTGAACTTCTAATTCAATTAATTTATGTTGTAACTTGTATTCTATATTTTTCAGATAACGATTGCCAGCTTTGTTACATACATTATGACATCTCCTACCGCGTACATGAGCTCCGAAACAGCCTTTGTCTCCATCGCTCTCTTCAACTACTTGAGGGGTGCTATGAATATGCTGCCGATGTGTATCTCCACTCTCGCACAGGTAGCTCTTGTAGATCTGTGACTCAGTTAAAGAACTGTCTGTCAGGACATTGTGATTGGGTCTATTCCGCTCTAACCCTCTCCTCTCTACTCCGCTTTAATCCAATCTGCTCCAATTAAATACGCTCCTCACCACTCCGCTCTTACCCTCTCCTCTCTACTCCGCTTTAATCCAATCTGCTCCAATCTGCTCCCAATCCGCTAAATACTCTACTCCGCTCACCACTCACTCCGCTCCGCTCTAACCCTCTCTCTCTCTACTCCGCTCTAATCCAATCTGCTCCAATTCAATACTCTCTCACCACTCCGCTCCGCTCTAACCCTCTCCTCTCTACTCCGCTCTAATCCAATCTGATCAGATTAAATACGCTCCTCACCACTCCACTCCGCTCTAACCCTCTCCTCTCTACTCCGCTCTAATCCAATCTGCTCCAATTAAATACGCTCCTCACCACTCCGCCCCGCTCTTACCCTCTCCTCTCTACTCCGCTTTAATCCAATCTGCTCCAATTAAATACTCTCTCACCATTCCACTCCGCTCTAACCCTCTCCTCTCTACTCCGCTCTAATCCAATCTGCTCCATTTAAATACGCTCCTCACCACTCAATTCAAATTAACAGCATCGACTTCAATTTGCATCTAAAAGTAGGGCGTCAGTGCTCTTGAAAGCAAGCACCAAATGCATCGTTCATATTTGATGGTGATCTTAAAGATCGCTTATTTGATAATGTTCTGGGCCATTTAAATGTTGTTTTAATTTGTGATCCACAGAAATACTGTTATGTATCAGCAAAATACCCCAAACATTCTCACAATCCCTATGTCCAAAATATTAAATGGCCGATATGTTATCAAAGACCATGGGGTATGGATATGGAAAGGGTTTAGTCGCTTCTACTTCTATTGTGAAAGCGATCAAACAATCCATCTTCAAAGACAAATGGAACAAATTATCAATGTTACATTATTCTGGTGATTCTTACCTCTTTCGCAGATCGTAATTGTAACGATCATTAGATTATTTTCCGAACTTGACAACCATAATAGTTATTTCTTCATAAGTTACGCTCCTTGCTAATGTACCGAAGCAAGCGTGTCGTCTGCGTTTCAGGCAAGTCTGTCAACAAAGCGTCTGAACAAATACCTTGCTGAGGACGACCTGGAGCCCAGCACCGTGTCCGCCAATACGGCAGAAGGTCGAGTATCTGTGTAATGAACAGGAGGGGGTCTCCATGCGTTATTTTATACCTTCACCATTCCGTGGTCAAGGTCAAACTTGTCTTTCATGGAGTGACGCCTTTCTACTGTAGTATGAGAAGTTATGTACTTCCACCTCGTGTATGAGTGACATTTGTAACGAACACGTTGTCAAATCCAAAGACCTGGTTCAACTCAGGTGCAGATATGTACTCGAGTGTACATGCACATGCACATGCATTCCCTCTGCTGCCAAAGTAATTGTGAATACAATGTTCTTGTTGACATTACTCGGTTCTGGTCAGTGAGACTACTACACAGTTAATTCCTATTATTATTTCGTCTTCGTTGTTATCGCATTGTCATGGGCTGAATCAAGTTTAAACTGTAATGTCAACAATGAAAACGATCAGCAAACAACTTGGATATAGTTTCTTGTTTCGATCTTAGAATTTGGTAACAGTCTTAGCAACCGTCTTTTGAGTAATCGAACAACTGACACGTTATATGTAATTTGCAGATGCTTTTAAAATTGAAAAGCTATAATTAATATCATGCATTCATATTTCTGATTTCAGGAATTGCAATCAGTATTGATAAAGCTACCTTCACGTGGAATACTGAATCGGAGTCAACCCTAAAAAAGTAAGTGCTGAAATATAATTTGAGATTAGAGATCGATATGGATCCGTGTATATGAAGATAATGCACGAGTTTATGAAGATAATGAACTATTGTTCAAGACAACCTGAGTGCAAGAATAAGACAATACACAGAGTAGCCGTGTGCTCATGACAACAAGTGTACCTGTATAACACAATAATACCGATGAGTGAGCGAGTGAGTTCAGTTTTACGCCGCACTCAGCAATATTACAGCTATATGGCGACGGTAAAGTCTGGACCAGACAATCCAGTGATCAGCAGCATGAGCATCGATCTACGCAATTGCACACCGATGTAGACTTTCATTGGGCATCCGCATTCATACGGATTCAAGGTCCTGATCGACATACTGAACTTTAAGTGAATCACTGTGACTTATGACTTCTTTCAGTATCAACTTGTCTGTGCCTATTGGCCAGCTAGTGGCGATTGTGGGTACAGTTGGAGCGGGCAAGTCGTCGCTGCTGTCGGCCATGTTGGGGGAGATGCGGAAGCTGAAGGGCCACGCGGCCATGAAGGTGAGTACTGAACCACCTGGTACTTGTGATGCTGATAGGATCACTAATATATACAGCGATATTTGCAAGTTTGGTACCAGTTCACACATCCAACATTAAACCCCATCACAATATATTCACGCCATTAAACACTTCTAGCACCCTTGTAAGACTACGATTAATCAGTGGAGATGGTGGAGGGCAGTAAATTCAGTAATATGTCAGTGACAGGAATACGAAAAGTCATGATTGCTTGTACATGTATCTTCTCTTAGTTTCAATTTAGCTTTTTTCTCTTCTAAAATAAGTCCATGGTTAAACAAGAGGGACAATTTGCTGAAATTCTGCTAACACTGTGAGAAGAAAATAACAAGGATATGGTTCTGAAGATTCTCCAAGTGATGCTACTATAGACATTAAAAGACCATCTTGATAGAACTCTTCTTCTATGCACAGCTGCAGTACGTTGCTCTGTGAGGGTTTGTGATTCCTATCCTATTTCTTTCCTTAGAAAAGTGTGGCGTACGTGCCACAGGAGGCCTGGATACAGAACTTGTCCCTCAAAGCTAACATTGCGTTCGGTTCTGAACCGGACGATAAACGGTATCTGGATGTTATCAAAGCGTGTGCCCTCGAGTCGGACCTGCAAACACTTCCTGGTGGAGCCAACACAGAGATAGGAGAAAAGGTAGGACACCTGTCTTGGTCATGGTAGACACTGAGATATAAAGGGAACCATTGAACACCTGTCGTGCTCGCAGTAGACACAGATATTGAAAAGGGAATGCTACTAGACACCTGTCGTGCTCGCAGTAGACACCGATATTGAAAAGGGAATGCTACTAGACACTGATACAGGAACCCGTGAAAAATCCGGGTTAAAATTTGTCTTCAGTAACCCATGTTTGTTGTAAGAGGCGAATAACGGCATTGGGTGGTCAGACATGGATCACCATTACTGTTTCAAGTCAAATGGCCATGGCAGCAAGCGAAACCATGTTACCAAACTCAAAAGCCCACTTGCAAAACACCGGGTAGGGTGGTAGAATTGGTCTTCATCAACCCATGCTGTCGTAAAAGGCGATTAATGGCATCGGGTGGTCATTTTATCGTATCCCACTTGCGTAGACCGATGGTAATGCTGTTGATCACTGGATTGTCTGGTCCAGACTCGATGATTTACAGACTGCCGCCATATAACTGGAATATTGCTGAGTCACAGTAGACACAGATCTGGAAAACACGTAGCCAATAGAAACCTGTCGTGGTCACAGTAGACACAGATATAGAAAACACGTAGCCAATGGAAACCTGTCGTGGTCACAGTAGACACAGATATAGAAAACACGTAGCCAATGGAAACCTGTCGTGGTCACAGTAGACACAGATATAGAAAACACGTAGCCAATGGAAACCTGTCGTGGTCACAGTAGACACAGATATAGAAAACACGTGGCCGATGGACATCTGACTTAGTTACAGTAGACACAGATATAGAAAACACGAAGCCAATGGGAATCTGTTGTAGTCACAGTAGGCACAGGTCTGGGAAACACGTAGCCAATAGAAACCTGTCGTGGTCACAGTAGACACAGATATAGAAAACACGTAGCCAATGGAAACCTGTCGTGGTCACAGCAGACACAGATATAGGAAACACGTGGCCGATGGACATCTGACTTAGTTACAGTAGACACATACTAGTATATAGGAAACACGAAGCCAATGGGCATCTGTCGTAGTCACAGTAGACACAGATAGGTAACACGTAGTCAAGCAAGACACAGACATGGGCGAACAATGCATCTGACGACGACGATGCATGAACAGTTTTTGTATTAGGCTGCCTCAACATTATGGTACCGATTGCTGTTAAGGAAATGGTAGTGCTGCTATTGATATCGTTTCCAGGGCATCAACCTGAGTGGAGGACAGAAGCAGCGAGTGTCTCTTGCCCGAGCTGTATACAGTAACAAGGACATATATCTGTTGGATGATCCTCTCAGCGCTGTGGACTCCCATGTTGGCAAACACATCTTCAGTCAGGTTATAGGACACCAGGGGATACTGAAGGGAAAGGTGAGCAGATGAGTTGTACAGATATATACTTAAAGGCAAATGTTATTGGGACACATAAACAACAATCAGAATCAGTGCCTCGAATGAAATGTCATGACATGGAAATCATCAGCAGTTCATAACAACAGCGCACAACTAGCAATGGGGTTTACAAGTTCACCCGGTCAGTGGCGAATGTGTCCACCTTGTGCATTGATGCAGGCCAAGCTACCTTTGCCTTATTGAGGCCGCTAGCAACAATGGCATATTGAAAGTCCTGGGTAAGATCATTCCATATCCGAGGACGGATTTGTTGAAGTTCGAGCAGCATTGTTGGAGAATTCGGAAGACGTCGTAAACGTCGCTCCATTTCATCCCGGATATGTTCAACTGGTGACAAATCAGGGGATCTTGCAGGTTAACACAATAATATTATTCTAATCACGATACTGTCGTACAATTGCAACGGATGATCTACGTCGATGGAGGGGCAGGGCGTCTCGTACGGAAGACGTAGACATGTAGACTTTCTGTATTTTTCTACATATTATAGGGCTATGGGAAAGTAGAACTAGTGGTCCCGTTGAGTTCGTTATAACTGACGTGTATTTACTTACTTATAGTTAAACTGTTGGCTCTTCTTTCAGACAAATGCGTAGATCGATGCTCATGCTGTTGATCTCTGGATTTTCTGATCCAGACACGATTATTTACAGACCGCCGCCATATAACTGGAATATAGCACTGTTGGAGGATTCGGAAGACGTCGTAAACGTCGCTCCATTTCATACCCAGATATGTTCAACTGGTGACAAATCAGGGGATCTTGCAGCCCTGGTTGACACAATAACATTGTTCTGATCGCGATACTGCCGTACAGTTGCAGTATGATCTACGTTGATGGATACGATTACGTCGATGTTCTCGCGCCAGAAATGGCTGGTGGGCAGGGCGTCTTGCACGGAAGACGTAGACATGTAGACCTTCTATACATTTCTGCATATTTCTGCACATTATACGACTATAAGAAACTAAAACCGTATATTGTATTTACTTAGAGTTAAACTGTTGGCTCTTCTTTCAGACCCGAGTACTTGTGACCCACGGCGTCCACTGGTTACCTATGGTTGACGTCATTGTTGTGATGGATCGAGGGGAGATAACTGAGGTTGGATCGTATGAAGAGCTTCTTGATCATGACGGACCATTTGCACAGTTTCTGAAGACATATTTACAGCAAGGAAACCATGACAACCTGGAGGATGAAGAGTGTAAGCAAAATAAGGTCTACAAGTCGTATGTAAAATACAAGCGATAAGGTATTTCCCTGTCTTTTTAACTTATATGTTGACTCCTTCAAGAGATATATGGCAAAAGATGCGATTCTTTAATCTCTGATAAAATTAGATGCAATAATCTACGTTTGTAAAGAAAATGCTTACAACCCACAGACGTTTTTTCAGCCCTTGCCACTTAATATACACTTTAGGCGTAAAATGAACTACCGTTATAACGAACTAAAATTTAAAATTAGTGGTCCCGTTCAAATCGTTTTAACCGTTGTTTACTATATGATATAATCTTACAATTTATAATCTAAACAATTTCAGTGCAAGAAATCCGTAGCACCCTGTCAAAGAACTCTGTTTCGTCACCCAGTCTCTCGCCGTCAAAGCTTTCGGATTATCTCCACAGTCCACAGTTACTTCGTCAGTTGTCAGTAGAATCCGAGACAACGCTCAGGCAAAGACATCACAAGGAGAATATTTTCGGATCTATGCGGTATTTAACATTAATACAAACCCGTGAAGGTCCGGGTTAGAATATTGATCTTCAGTAACCCATGCTTGTCGTAAGAGGCGACTAACGGGATCCGGTGGTCAGGCTCGCTGGCTTGGTTGACACGTCATTGGTTCCCAATTGCGCACATCGATGTTCATGTTGTTGATCGCTGGATTGTCTGGTCCAGACTCGATTATTTACAGACCGCCACCATATAACTGGAATATTGCTGAGCGCGGCGTAAAACTAAACTCACTCACTTATCATTGATACACAATAACAGTCCCTTCCTTACAGAATGTTTCATCAGCAGATCACAATCAGATCACTGATCTTCATCAACCCGTAATTTTCAGAGAAGGCGCGTAAAGGTCACTGTACAGATCGATGCTCATTATGTTAAGCACTGGTATGCCCAGTTCAGACTGAAATATTTACCATCGTGCCACAACGATGAAATAGTCCTCAGTGCGGTAAATAGAGAATCTCACCCAAGTGTCTACTGATATCAATTATATCAACACGAGTTGATAAAGTTACAAATATCCGAGGCTTGCCGAGGATATTTTTACCTTTATCAACGAGTGTTGATATAATTGATATCAGTAGACACGAGGGTGAGATTCTATTTATCATCAAAAATCATTCTTCGTTACTTTTCAATGCAAAATGTACATATCCCAACACTGTACTACCTTTAGACTTGCAGTGCAGTGATGTCATAGCATTGTGACGTCATCAAGTTGATGACGTCATAGCATTGTCAGGGCATTGTACAAAATCTACTGTCAAAAACGAAATCTCCTAGGAGATATATGATCTCACACAAGCGATATCTCCTGTGGAACACAGTTTTGGATGATAATAAACAACACGCACATATAACACAATGAGGTCTACCGTTAAAGGTTGTACTCTCTCAGCAATGTTTTTGCTGTCTATAAATAATCCAATGATCGACATCATGAGCATGAATCTACGCAGATGTTATACGATGACATGTGTCAACCAAGTTAGTGAGCCTGACCACCCGATCCCGTTAGTCGCCTCTTACGGTAAGCATGGGTTGCTGAAGACCAATTCTAACCCGGATCTTCACGGATACTATCGTTTATGAACACGTTTTATCCATGAGTTTAATTTTATGCGGTTTTAGCAATATTCCAGCAATATCACTGCGGGGGACACCAGAAATGGGCTTCACACATTGTACCCATGTGTCGAATCGAACCCGGGTCTTCGGCGTGACGAGCGAACGCTTTAACCACCTGGCTACCCCACCGCCCCAGCAAACAACCAAACACACACTGGATACCAAGCTGTCTATACTTGTCCAACTGTCTGATATGTAATATTCTATGGCTGACAAAAGTCAAAAACCGACACAAAAATGCTAGTCGATTAATTGATAGGTATAGTCAGGCATTTTAACACATCTGTGAAATATGACAGCACCGTCCATCAATGGAAAGAGACACAATGTTACCTTATGTTTCAGGTCAGTGGCAAGTGGTAACATGGATTGTGATCTGAACCAGGAAGTGTATGTAGCAGAAGAGGCGGCTGCTGGAGAAGAGTATAAACTAATTGAGGATGAATATACAGAGACGGGCAATGTACGTAGATCCATCTTTCCTGTGTACTCTTCATCTTTTTAATTGTCTTTGAGTGAGTGAGTGAGTTTGGTTTTACGCCACTTTTAGCAATATTCCAGCAATATTACGGCGGGGGACACCAGAAATGGGCTTCACACATTGTACCCATGTGGGCAATCGAACCCGGGTCTTCGGTGTGACGAGCGAACACTTTAACCACCAGGCTACCCCACCGCCCCCATTGTCTTTGAGATCATCCTGATAGTACTGTCGCTGAAGCGGCATAAAGCAATATTCATTCATTTATTCCTACAAACATGGCTACATGTACCACAAAAAATAGCGTCCATAGGGACACTGAAACAATAGCGTTTTACATCAGAGTAGGAGGATCTGATCTGAGGATTAGAAACAATGGTCTCCCATATAGTAGAAGATATATTGGCCCAGAAGGAACATCGCATTGTCGCCGCCGTAACTGAAGATGATAATGTTATCACTTTCTTACCTTTAGTAACGGCCGCGAGAAAACTATAAAGCGATTACAAGAGGCGTGAAAGAGATAGCACGAGACGAGAATGCGATAATAGGTGACGTGAAAGCGCGTAAACATAGATGAGAAATCGATAACATAAAATGAGGTATACAAATATCGTCTTCTCGTCTCCTTTTATCGCTTTCTCGCGGCAGTAATAGAAGGCAACAAAGTGATGACATCGTAATGATTACATCTCATTGACATCGCTTTCTCGCCTTCAATTACAGCCACGAGAAATCGATAACACGAGAAGAGAAAGCAATAAAATGAGATGAGAGAGCGATTCAGCGAGAAAGCGAAATACAAATATGAGAAAGTGATAACTGTAGTTGAGAAAGTGATATACAAATATATTTCCGATATTTACCATAGTGTTAGCATTGGGTAATATGAGGCGATATATCTAGTATTCTAGAAAAGAGAATGCGATAATAGGAGACGTGAAAGTGTTAATATGAGATGAGAAAGCGATAACATAAAATGAGGTATACAAATATCGCTTTCTCGTCTCCTTTAAACGCTTTCTCGCGGCAGTAATTGAAGGCAACAAAGTGATGACATCGTAATGATTACATCTCAATGACATCGCTTTCTGTCCTTCAATTACAGTCGCGAGAAATCGAGAAATCGATAACATAAGATGAGATATACAAACATCGCTTTCTCGCATCGTTTTATCACTTTCTCGCGGCAGTAATTGAAGGTGAGAAAGCGATAACATCGTAATGCTTACATCCCAATGACATCGCTTTCTCGCCTTCAATTACAGCCACGAGAAAACGAGAAATCGATAACACGAGAAGAGAAAGCGATGAAATGAGATGAGAGAGCGATACAGCAAGAAAGCGAAATACAAATAAGCGATAACTGGAGTTGAGAAAGTGATATGCAAATATATCCCCGATATTTACGATACCGTTAGTTAGGTGATATGAGGCGATATATCTAGCATTCTATGTTTGTTTTCAGGTGAGGTATTCAATACTGAAATCCTACTTCTCTGTTATTGGCTGGGTGTGGGCAGCTGGAATCATGGTTCTGTATGTCACGTACAACTTTGCCTGGGCTATGTCCAACGTGTGGCTCAGTCAGTGGACCGAGGACCCAAGGCTGAAGCCTATTGCCCACTTTCAGGCTGGCAACTACACCAGTAGAGTGAACACGACTGGAACCGTGTTTAACGTTACTATGGACGATTCGGATAATAAGGACACACTTCGGTCGTTGTCCTACTACTACCTGGGAGTGTATTGCGCAGTTGCATTTACTCAAGGTAGGTAGAGTTGTGAATCACCATCACCACTGGACTAAGATTTCAGAGTACTATGAGCCTGTGATTTATTACGTCCTATTGTTTTGTTATAATACCACTGTCACTGTAGTGATTATTGCCAATAACCCTTTCCACTTGCATGATATTTCAAAAAGAACTCGAGGTAGGTGGAGTTGTGGATCACTATAACCATCGGGCTAAGAATTCAAAGTACTATAAATCTGTGATATATTACGTCCTATCGGTTATCCTATCGGTTTAGTTCTGTTAGAAAACCATCGTCGCATATGATTAGTATCGAGTATACTGACTGACTGATTGACTGAGTTCGGTTTTACGCCGCTTTTAGCAATATTCCAGCGACATCACGGCGGGGGACACCAGAAATGGGCTTCACATATTGTACCCATGTGGGGATTCGAACCCGGATCTTCGGCGAGTATCGAGTATACGGTGTTCCTGTTCATCTGTATTGTTATGCGTATCTATGATAATGCCTTTTGTTATTAAGATATCCCGCGCCAGTGTATATGCCATATAATATAGGGCTGGCTAGAATGATCGATAATCGGAAATGTCGTCGATAGGAAAAATGATTAATGATTATCGGCAATATCGTACATTAACATTCGTGATAGAATTTTTGCAAACGTTTCTCTCACAATATAGAAATTTAGAACTTAATTCATGGTCTGCTTCTAAATTATGTTCAGGACGCAATTTTGTTAATAATCCATGCAAAGACCTGGCACCACTCACTAGTGATAAAAATGTATTTATTTCAGACGTTTTTGGCATTTTACGTTTCCGATATTTATAGATAATCGGTCGATATTTAGTTACCGATTATCGATCTATATTATCTATATCGATTACCAGCCCTAGTATAGTCAGTAATACACTGTAAAGCTTCATGTCAATATAAACATATTCCATGCAACATGACCATCTGGTAGCAAATTCCACAAGGAAATCTCTATTTAGGAGAGATATGTAAATTGATACAATTCCATCCAAATGCCTGTAATTCCTGAATGTTCACAGGATGCTACTTGGAGAATGAAAAAAGAAGATTGTGTCTGCTTTTTAAACACTGTGTATATTTTTGCGAGTTTGAGTTTTGAATCAAATTTGAATTTAAGAAGAAAGATATTATTAACAACCATATTTAGGAGCTATGCAGGAGTTGTTACACAACTGGTGCCAGGAAACCATTTGTTGGGGTTCATTAAGGATGGACATCAATTATATGCTAGTTGTAAGAGGTTTGGATGGTTGGTTGGTCATCGTATCCCAACTGTGTAGATCGATGCTCATGCTTTTGATCACTGGATTGTCTGGTCCAGACTCGATTATATATACAGACCGTCATTTAGCTGGAATATTGCTGAGTGCAAAAACAAACAAACCATGAGTGAGTGAGTGAGTGAGTGAGTGAGTGAGTGAGTAGGCTAGTTGCACACAGCGGACCTATAATTCCTCATTCATCACTAGTTGAATGTATCCTTGCAGAAAGGGTAGAAGATAAACTACAGATAAGTTTTGTGGTATCATCAACCGAACTCTAATGGCTGTAAAGTAAACTCTGTGTTACGGTTTCAGCTGTGTCTGTGATGCTCAACTCACTCCTTGTTTACACAAAGATGGTTGACGCTGCCAAGGTAACGCATAGGAACCTTCTGGACAACATCATCAAGCAGCCAATGAGCTTCTTCGACACAACACCAACTGGACGAATCCTGAATCGGTTTACAAAAGACGTTGACGTCGTCGATGGCCATCTTCCCCGCGTGTTGCGGTTGTGGCTGGAATTCATCTTCTATCTGATCAGCATCCTTGTGGTGATTTCCTACAGCACGCCGATGTTCCTTGCTGTTTCCGTCCCCGTCATTGTATGCTTCATATTCATACAGGTAGGGAATATTGTGATATGGTTCATATTCATACAAGGAGGGAATATTGTGGTAGAATGGTTCATCTTCATACAGGTAGGGAATATTGTGGTTCATCTTCATACAGGTAGGGAATATTGTGGTTCATCTTCATACAGGTAGGGAATATTGTGGCTCATCTGCATACATGTAGGGAATATTGTGATAATATGGTTTATCTTCATACGGTGAGGGGATATTGTGATAATATGGTTCATCTTCATACAGGTAGGGAATATTGTGAAAATGTGGTTCATCTCCATAAAGGTAGGGAATAGTGTGGTTTATTTTCATACAAGAAGAGAAATATTGTGATAAAATGGTTCATTTTGATACAGGTAAGGGAATATTGTGAACGTATGGTTCATCTCCATACAGGTAGGGGAATATTGTGATAAATTAGCTCGTCTTCATGCTGGTAGGGGGAATATTGTGATAAAATGGTTCATTTTCATGCAGGAAGGGGACTATTGTTAACATTTGGTTACTTTTCACACATATAGGGAATTTTGTGAACATGTGGTTCAAATCACACAGAAAGACCACTGTTTTTAATATATCTCAGTTTTATACAGGTGGGTGATTGTTGTGAAATGCTTCATTTTTATAAAGGTAAGGGATCACTTGATTTGATTGATGAAAGACATAGATGAAATGTGAAATTTGAGAAACCCTAACGTAAACGCATCATAAAACCTTCCCCATTTACTTTTATACAAGACTACGTGACAATGATGTCGACATGAACGTCTTTTCCACAGCGGATGTACACGCCCACATCTCGGCAACTACGACGATACTTCTCAGCATCCAAGTCACCGGTCTTCTCTCATTTCACGGAAACCATCAACGGAGCTTCTTCTGTTCGTGCCTACAGAGCGCAGGACCGTTTTTTTCAACAGCTCTTTAAGCAGAGTGAACGAACACAACATCTTCTACTACGGTGCTGTGACGACACATAGGTAGCGCCACATGCTCAGGATACGCTCACCTTTTGGGAACACCTGGTGTTATCACTGGGTAGTATAATTCATAAATTCTAATGATATAGTCGTACTCAGCCTACTCAGCTTTTGGCCGAGATTTATCATGGATATTCCCTTCATCTCACAAGAATATGCCCCGAAACGTCGCGTTCCTCATATTACATAGGTTCCCATTCATACATTTCGCTTTAAGATAAGGACATTGTTTGATTGCTTTGATTACCTTGGAAGCTTATCAAATTCGTGAAGTCGTCTTAGAGACCAGTCGATCTATCACTCTAAGTGGTCAACCTGGGATGACAAATTGGTGACTATGTTTTGCTGAGTATAGAGTATATACAACGTCTACAACATCTCCTGAATGCCGATAACCCTGCATGTGTAGGTTTCTTTCCTGCTGCTTTTAAATTTTGTAGTGATATTGATTTTTGGTCATTTTAGTGACCAGTGGGTTGGTCACTATAAGTGGTCACAGCCTAGGATTGCAAGGTGGCATGTCCTCTGTATAGGGATGGGACTACTTCCGTAGGGTTTTACTCTGATGCTTGTGGATTTTGCTATATGGAAATTCTTTTGTCATCTTAGTGACAGGTGGATCTGCCACTATAAGTAGTCACAGACTAGGGGTTATATTCCCTGTATAGAAATGAGTCTGCATGTTTTGGGTGTTTTTTTAAGGGGTTTTTATGGCTGCTTCTAATTTTTGTTATGATATTGATTTTTGGTCATCTTTGTGACCAGTGGTTCTGTCACTGTAAGTAGTCACAGCCTGAAATAACAAGTGCTATTTTCTCTGAATGTTTGTCTGGTTTTTTTCTTTGTTTGTTTGTTGTTGTTTTTGTGTGTTTTGTGTGTGTGTGTTTGTGTGTGTGTGTTTGTGTGTGTGTGTGTGTTTGTGTGTGTGTGTGTGTGTGTTGTGTGTGTGTGTGTGTGTGTGTGTGTGTGTGTGTGTGTGTGTGTGTGTGTGTGTGTGTGTGTGTGTGTGTGTGTGTGTCCCCTGCTGCTTCTACATTTTGTTGTGATATTGATTTTTGGTCATCTTTGTGACCATCAACCGAGGCCAAGGATACTTCATTCCATCCGCTTATGATACACTCATCCACCAAGCCCAATCTACTGTATAAACTCTGCTGTATAAACATCTCATTATTATTTGTACATCATTGGCTTCCACGCCTGTCCTTTGTCTACCCTCTGGCTTCATCAGCTTTCTGCCTAGCCTATTATGTTAATTATGTTGTTTTCTTTGTTATATTGTTACAACCAGTATATATATATATACTTCCCCCTTCTTCATGTTCCATTATGCTTGACAACGGTACAAGAATCTGTATCGAAACGTCGCATTCACGAATAAAAAGAAGTTGTTATCCATAAAGTTTGTTCTATATTGTACTTCCCAACTTCTAAAATGCCACTTAAAGAAGTTATCTTTGTGACCAGTGGATATGTCACTTCAAGTGGTCATAGCCAAGAGTGACAAGGTGTTGTTTTTCTCTGTGTGTTTGTTTGGGGCTTCTTGTTTGTTTTCTGCTGCTTCTTGTTTTGCTACTGAACTGTGTCTGTTCACAGATGGATGAAGATGCGTCTAGATGGCCTGGGGTGTCTGGTGGTGTTCAGCGCTACACTCCTGGGCGTGGTCAGCCCCCACATCTCCTCAGGGGTGGTCGGTCTGTCCATCACGTATGCTTTAATGGTAATGAGTGTGGAAAAGCTGACACCTGGCTTTACAGATGTAGCATACCCGTGTCTTCGGCAAACCATGCTTTTCGTAAGAGGCGACTAACGCGATTGGGTGGTCAGGATCACTGGCTTGGTTGACACGTGTCATCGTATCCCAACTGCGTAGATCGATGCTCATTGCTGTTGATCACTGGATTTTCTGGTCTAGACTCGATTATTTGCAGACCAGTGCCATAATGCTGAAATATTGCTGAGTACGGCGTAAAACTAATCTCACTCACTCACTCACGCACGTAGATGTAGCAAATTCCTTCACGGTTCATTAACAGTGACAACTCGACTAAAATTCATAGATGTCATTGTAATTATGTAGATTGTATTGTATATGTTTTAAATATTTAATGCATGATGTGGTTGCTAGGTGACAGGCTGTCTGATCATGATGGTGATAATGACGACGGAGTTGGAGGCGCACGTGGTGTCTGTGGAAAGGATGGCGCAGTACACGTCACTGCCGACAGAGGTAATAGGGGATTCCTAGTACAGACCATCTTTGCTATTGGGAGTGGGAGTGGAAGTGGGATATCGTTCGGCAGGGGCAACTACATTTGGCGAAGAAAATGTTTGAAACTTTTTGCATAAGTATTGGATAAAATTAGATTGGTTGCCACAACGACCCATTGTTGTAACGTGTTCGGTTTTATACAGAAAATATATTTGGATTCTTATATAGATTCAAGAAACAAACCTAGGTGACAGTACAATAAAATGGTTTCTGAAATATATTTACTCTTCAACTACTTACACGTGCGGGGCGGTGTGGTGGCCTGGTGGTTAAAGCGTTCGCTCATCACGCCGATGATATTACGTGGCGTTAAACCATGCTCACTCACTTACACATAAATATCTGCATTCTTTCCATGTTGAATTTTATCCCTGATTTATATGCAACTGTTCTTGTTTGTGATTGTTCCACACCGTGGTAATTTAGTTCTTCTGTAAATACTAACGTTTTCATGCTTAAAAAAACACAGCTAAATGAGTGATTATGATCAAACGCAGGGAACACTAGAAGTGGACTTCACACATACGTGGAACAGAACCTAAACCTTCAGTGGGACCAGAAAACACTTTAACCACTGGGCGAAACAATACAACTCTCATGACAGGACGTCTTTAGAAATGCACCGCATGGTTTGTTGTTAGCGGAGCTGTATTGATAGAAGCATTTTCGCTTGTTTACCAATTCGTGTTTCTTTTGAAAATCAAAATATGTTTGCACAATTTTGCAGGCTCCCTGGGTGATTCAAGACAAGAGACCATCGCCTGAGTGGCCGGAGAAAGGTCACATCAAGTTTGACAATCTGAAGATCCGCTACCGTCCTGAGTTGGATCTGGTCCTGAAGGGAATAAGTTGTGACATCAAGCCCGGGGAGAAGGTACAGGACACTCTTGTAGACATTATTTTTTTTCTTCTTAAGACAAATTTGTTCTTTACAGGATGTTGACCCTTGAAGATCCGGGTTAGAATTGGTCTTCAGCAACCCATGCTTGTCTCCTGTGAAGATCCGGGTTAGAATTGGTCTTCAGCAACCCATGCTTGTCTACTGTGAAGATCCGGGTTAGAATTGGTCTTCAGCAACCCATGCTTGTCTCCTGTGAAGATCCGGGTTAAATTGGTCTTCAGCAACCCATGCTTGTCTCCTGTGAAGATCCGGGTTAGAATTGGTCTTCAGCAACCCATGCTTGTCTACTGTGAAGATCCGGGTTAGAATTGGTCTTCAGCAACCCATGCTTGTCTACTGTGAAGATCCGGGTTAGAATTGGTCTTCAGCAATCCATGCTTGTCTACTGTGAAGATCCGGGTTAGAATTGGTCTTCAGCAACCCATGCTTGTCTACTGTGAAGATCCGGGTTAGAATTGGTCTTCAGCAACCCATGCTTGTCTCCTGTGAAGATCCGGGTTAGAATTGGTCTTCAGCAACCCATGCTTGTCTCCTGTGAAGATCCGGGTTAGAATTGGTCTTCAGCAACCCATGCTTGTCTCCTGTGAAGATCCGGGTTAAAATTGGTCTTCAGCAACCCATGCTTGTCTCCTGTGAAGATCCGGGTTAGAATTGGTCTTCAGCAACCCATGCTTGTCTACTGTGAAGATCCGGGTTAGAATTGGTCTTCAGCAACCCATGCTTGTCTCCTGTGAAGATCCGGGTTAGAATTGGTCTTCAGCAACCCATGCTTGTCTCCTGTGAAGATCCGGGTTAGAATTGGTCTTCAGCAATCCATGCTTGTCTACTGTGAAGATCCGGGTTAGAATTGGTCTTCAGCAACCCATGCTTGTCTCCTGTGAAGATCCGGGTTAGAATTGGTCTTCAGCAACCCATGCTTGTCGTCAGAGATAACTAACGGGATCAGTTGGTCAGGTTCTCTGACAAGGTTGACACATGACATCGTTGCCCAACTGCGTGATTGATACTCACGTTGTTGATCAGTGGATTGTCTGGTCCAAACTCAATTACAGACCGCCGTCATATAGCTAAGCTATTTCTGAATGCGGCGTTAAACGACAAACAAACAAAACCATGTGATATTTGTCTTGTTGCAGATCGGGGTGGTGGGGAGAACTGGCGCAGGGAAGTCGTCCTTGACCTTGGCGTTGTTTCGGATCCTGGAGGCAGATGACGGCCGTATCCTGGTGGATGGTCTCGACATTGCTGACATGGGGCTGCACGATCTGAGGTCCAGACTCACTATTCTACCACAGGTACACATGCACTGTAATGAATATGATCATTATGAGGTCACGATATTAAATGTCTTCATGACTTCAGATCATGTGATGGTATTCCAAAATACATGATTTAGCTTGAATGTCGTTCTGATATAGATCTGCATGGGCATTTCCACAGATGTGAGTGAGTATGGTTTTACGCCGCTTTTAACAATACTCCAGCAATATTACGGCGGGGGACACCAGAAATGGACTATTTCCACAGGAACATGAAACCACCTCTTAACTGAAAATAAACCGTAACATAAATAATATAAATAGATTAAAAATAGATGCTGCCATATCAGATATAAATAAGGTCTCTGTATTAGACAAACAACCCAGTGAGTAAGCATCAATCTACGCAAATGGGATATGGTGGCATGCATCAACCAGGGCCCCCGACAGTCGTAAGTCAATGTTAAAGTATGGGAGTTACGATCATTTTAGCGCTACGATCGCTTTGAGGAACAGGGCCCAGGTCAGCAAGCCTGATCACTATCCTGGTAGTCACTTCTTTCGAGGCTTGTAGATAAATACAAGAAAGTGTTACATTCTAAGAGATACTCAAGTTCTTTGGCTTTAACAAACTGGTGAAAGGAAATCAGCTATCCCTCATTAGACGCAATGCGGAGGTGGTCCAGACATGTGTTCTCATTCACCAGGATCCGATGTTGTTTTCCGGAACTCTTCGTCTGAACCTGGATCCGTTCGAGAAGCACAGTGACGAGGATCTGTGGCTGGCTCTGGAGAGAGCTCACCTCAAGGGCTTTGTGTCAGGGCTGAGCGAGGGCCTGCTCCACGAGTGTGAGGAGGGTGGACACAATCTCAGGTTAGTGAATGCATTTCTTCCTCGGGCACACTCTGAGTGAGTGAGTGAGGTAATGAGTGAGTGAGTGTGTGTGTGAGAGTTCACGCCGCTTTTAACGGTATTCAAGTACACAACCTCCTGTTTGTTAAGGTGTTTATTCGACAGTTCTCTTGCCCAGCTTGGAGTAGTGTCTGACAACCGAGTCACTGTAGTGTGTTGTATTCCAGTGTAGGACAGCGTCAGTTGGTCTGTCTAGTCTGGAGCGTATGACAACAGAGTCACTGTCGTGTGTTGTATTCCAGTGTAGGACAGCGTCAGTTGGTCTGTCTAGTCTGGAGCGTATGACAACAGAGTCACTGTCGTGTGTTGTATTCCAGTGTAGGACAGCGTCAGTTGGTATGTCTAGTCTGGAGCGTATGACAACAGAGTCACTGTCGTGTGTTGTATTCCAGTGTAGGACAGCGTCAGTTGGTCTGTCTTGCTCGGAGTCTGCTGAGGAGGACGAAGGTGCTGATCCTGGATGAAGCCACGGCAGCTGTTGACATGGAGACGGATGACCTCATCCAGAGCACCATCAGAACCGCCTTCAGTGACTGTACAGTCATCACAATAGCTCACAGGCTGAACACTATCCTGGACTATGACAGGTGAGTCATCACTATAGCTCACAGGCTGAACACTAACCTGGACTATGACAGGTGAGTCATCACTATAGCTCACAGGCTGAACACTATCCTGGACTATGACAGGTGAGTCATCGATATAGCTCACGGGCCGAACACTATCCTGGACTATGACAGGTGAGTCATCACTAAAGCTCAAAGGCTGAACACTATCCTGGACTATGACAGGTGAGTCATCACTATAGCTCACAGGCTGAACACTATCCTGGACTATGACAGGGATGGGCCATCACTATAGCTCACAGGCTGAACACTATCCTGGACTATGACAGGTGAGTCATCACTATAGCTCACAGGCTGAACACTATCCTGGACTATGACAGGGATGGGCCATCACTATAGCTCACAGGCTGAACACTATCCTGGACTATGACAGGTGAGTCATCACTATAGCTCACAGGCTGAACACTATCCTGGACTATGACAGGTGAATCATCGATATAGCTCACATGCTGAACACTATCCTGGACTATGACAGGTGAGTCATCGATATAGCCCACAGGCTGAACACTATCCTGCACTATGACAGGTGAGTCATCACTATAGCTCACAGGCTGAACACTATCCTGGACTATGACAGGTGAGTCATCACTATAGCTCACAAGCTGAACACTATCCTGGACTATGACAAGTGAGCCATCACTATAGCTCAAAGGCTGAACACTATCCTGCACTATGACAGGTGAGTCATCACTATAGCTCACAGGCTGAACACTGTCCTGGAAAATGACAGGTGAGTCATCGATATAGCTCACAGGCTGAACACTATCCTGGACTATGACAGGTGAGTCATCACTATAGCTCAAAGGCTGAACACTATCCTGGACTATGACAGGTGAGTCATCACTATAGCACACAGGCTGAACACTATCCTGGACTATGACAGGTGAGTCATCGATATAGCTCACAGGCTGAACACTATCCTGCACTATGACAGGGGTGGGCCATCGATATAGCTCACAGGCTGAACACTATCCTGGACTATGACAAGTGAGTCATCGATATAGCTCACAGACTGAACACTATCCTGGACTATGACAGGTGAGTCATCACTATAGCTCACAGGCTGAACACTATCCTGGACTATGACAGGTGAGTCATCACTATAGCTCACAGGCTGAACACTATCCTGGACTATGACAGGGGTGGGCCATCACTATAGCTCACAGGCTGAACACTATCCTGGACTATGACAGTGGGGTGTGTCATCACTATAGCTCACGGGCTGAACACTATCCTGGACTATGACAGTGAAATGTGTCATCACTATAGTTCACAGGCTGAACACTATCCTGGACTATGACAGGGATGAGCCATCACTATAACTCACAGGCTGAACACTATCCTGCACTATGACAGGGGTGGGCCATCACTATAGCTCACAGGCTGAACACTATCCTGCACTATGACAGGGGTGGGCCATCACTATAGCTCACAGGCTGAACACTATCCTGAACAGTGACAGTTGAGTGTGTCATCACTATAGCTCACAGGCTGAACACTATCCTGGACTATGACAGGGGTGGGCCATCACTATAGCTCACAGGCTGACAGATACGTGGGTCGTCACAACAGCACCAGAATGATCACTGTCCAAGTCAATAACAGGTCAGTATTCAGAGGTAAGATGACTCAGCTTTCCATGTGGATTGTCATGATCAGTAGTCGACTGGTACAATTTGCAACGAGTATCACAGCTTCAATCATTTATATCCAAAAGTTGAAATGTCTTCATCCTTCAGGATCATGGTGCTGTCAGCAGGAGAGATCGTGGAGTTCGCCAGTCCTACGTCACTCCTGGCAGACACAAACTCCACGTTCTACTCCCTGGCCAAGGATGCAAACATTGTCTGAGGAACTTCATCGTCAGCATGATGAAGTCTGGAGGCGATGTGTCTTCACGAGGTGAGGAACTGGAGAGGATGGGGAGTTGGTGGCCCCTCCTGGTTCTGAGAGGAAGATGCCAGAGACGCTGGCATCATATAAACGTCAGACCAATAAATGTGACGTCACATACTAAAACAGTATGGACAAACAGTATTACAGTGTCTCTGTACGTTATGTAATATTCGTCGAATAATTGTCTTACATGGAAAGTGAGTGAGTGAGTATGGTTTTACGCCGCTTTTAGCAATATTCAAGCAATATCACGGCGGGGGACACCAGAAATGGGCTTCACACATTGCACCCATGTGGGGAATCGAACTCGGGTCTTCAGCATGTCGAGGGGACGCTTTAACCATTAGGCTACCCCACCGCCCCTTACATGGAAAGAGTTTCTATCGACGCCTGTTGGTTGTATTGCAGTTAATTGCGTTAATGTGCGAGAAGCATTGAGACAATGGTCAACTGACCGATGAAACAGCATTGTATTTAGTGTGTAGTATGGAGAGAAAATTTGCAATATTATATTCAAGACTATGGTGTACTTAATGTCACAATAACATTGTTTGCTTTTCACTTGTTTTGTATTTCCCATTGTTAGCAAAGGCCATGACATTGGCCATGAAACATATGTCGTTAATTTTCTCTGAAAGTGTGTTTGTAGTTTTTCCCAAGAGTATTGACAGGAAATAAAGACGTCTACCTCGACTACGTGTTGTGTTTATGAAGAGATAATCACCATGCTATAAAACGATCAGTGATTTGAGTATAAACACCGAAGCATCTTTTGAAGGAATCTCATGTGCCTGATGAAGAAAATGGATGGTATTTCAGAAGCGAGAAATCTGAAAGGGCATGGATGTTTCATAGTCAATACGTCTTTCAATACTCATTTCCATTCCCCTGGGTTATCCACCCGAACAGGCCTTTTGGTTAGCCTTGTGGTTAAATCGTCCGCTTGTTATACCGATGACCCGGGTTCGATTACCTGCATGGGAATCCAGTGATCTACATCATGAGCATCGATCCAAACAATTGGGATACGATCACATGTGTCAAGGAAGTCAACGAGTCTGACCACCCGATCCCGTTAGTCGCCTCTTACAACAAGCATGGGTTGCTGAAGACCAATTCTAACCCAGGTCTACACGGGTTCACCCTAAAGAGGTGGGCAGGGGAGTCTTGGAGCCGTCAACACCAGACATGTTCTGCAGAACCTAGATAGGATGTTGACTGATAGGCCAATTTCCGATAAATCACTGGTTGCAAGATATAACTGGGTAATCCCCGACGACATTCAAACGATCCTTCAATCAGTCGTAAGGTCGAGTCCTCTTCATGTTTCCAGGTACAGTCATTCCCTGGGCTAGGATTGAACAGGCATTTTGGTAACAAACGCGCCTTGCTGCCTGGCCGCCCGGCCCATCTCACACTCTCTCAATCACACACCCAGAACTCCTCACAAATGCCCCAAACCAATGACGGTGGGTTCAAATCCCGGTTCGCGACCATTATGTTTCAGGGTTAGGCACCGCCATGGCATCCTCGATAATCTCCAGGGTATACGTTACGATAACTCCACTATACCCTGGATGCATCCACGGCTTGGGGCGACGATTTTATTACCTTCTTGGCTGGCTCCGCATTCTCACAGTAGCCAATCAGCTAAGCCGCCGTTACAACCGAGCTTGCCAGTGTCAACAAAGATAGCGGTCGCAGTCGGGAAGGCTTGTTCGCAGTGCTACTCAGATTTTTTGGGAAATAATAAAGACAAATTGACAGATCTGAAACTTTAAAAAACTATATGACAGAACTCCTTCTACTTCTTTCAGAGTACCTCTGCATCAATTGTGTTGCCAAGTTTAAACGGTAAGATAATTAAAGATGCGAAAGTGAGTTGTGATTAATACGCTCAACCACCCAGCGTAGGCACCTGATTGGATAAAAAACCAGCCAAGGGAGGTAATAAACTCATCGCCCCCAGCCGTGGATGCATCCAGGGTTATCGTAACGTATACCCTGGAGATTATCGAGGATGCCACCATGGTAGCTTCTTGGTTTTATTGAAGCGGTATTGAAGCGTAATTTAAGTTTGGTTTGTTTAACGCCGCACGCAGCAATGTTCCAGCTATATGGCGGCGGTCTGTAAATATTCGAGTCTGGACCACACAATCCAGTGATCAACATCATTACCATCGATGTACATAATTGGGATACGACGGCAGGTGTCAACCAAATCAGAGAGCCTGACCACCCGATCCCGTTAGTCGCCTTATACGACAAGTATGGGTTGATGAAGACCAATTCTAACCCGGACCTTCACGGGTTAGTTACAGTAGACTGTGGTTACACCAAACTGAAGACGGCCGCTTATTTTAATTCGTTATAACCGTAGCTCGTTATATGCATTTCGGTTAAAACAGAGCAAGTGGCCGTGGCTAAAAATGCCCAGTTCGTTAAATCCGTCAGTTCGTTGTTAGTGAGTGAGTGAGTTTAGTTTAACGCCGCTCTCGGCAACATTCCAGCTATATGGCAGCGCTCTGTAAATAATCGAGTCTCGACCAGACAATCCAGTGATCAACAGCATGAGCATCGATCTGCTCAAATGGGAACCGATGACATGTATCAACCAAGTCAGCGAGCCTGACCACCCGATCCCCTTAGTCGCCTCTTACGACAAGCATGGGTTACTGAAGGATCATTCTAACCCGGACCTTCACGGGTCAGTTCGTAATAAATGCAGTTTACTGTAGATGAGAGTCGACAGGACGAACAACAGCTAGATAATGACATGTAAACATATCCCCGCTATCTACTAAGTTATCCTCCAGTTTCAGGACAGATAGCTCTATGAGTAATCTTCTATAAGATTCGTTATCAGCGGATGACTATATACATAGCTATGTCCTGGTTATAGACAACACATGCCTCTTCACAAAGATAAAATAACTTTCACTCATTTGACACATGTATCAGTTTCCCTATTAGGTGAAAAAATCAACGTTATTCGTTACAAGGACTGTGCGCCATGTTACCGAGTGCAGTGACCGCTTGGCATGATGTGTGTCAAAGGAGTGAGTGAGTTTAGTTTTACGCCGCTTTTAGCAATATTCCACCAATATCATGGCGGGGGACACCAGAAATGGGCTTCACACATTCTACTAATCTGGGAAATCGAACCCGGGTTTTCAGCATGATGAGCGAATGCTTTAACCTCTAGGCTACCCAATTACCCCAAGGTGAGACAAGAACTGTGCAATGTGTGACAAGAACAGTGGAATGTGTGACAAGTACAGTGGAATGTGTGACAAGGACAGTACAATGTGTGACAGGGACAGTACAATGTGTGACAAGGACAGTACAATGTGTGACAGGGACAGTGCTATGTGTGACAAGGACAGTGCAATGTGACAAGGACAGTACAATGTGTGACAAGGACAGTACAATGTGTGACAAGGACAGTGCAATGTGTGACAAGGACAATACAATGTGTGACAAGGACAGTGGAATGTGTGACAAGGACAGTAAAATGTGTGACAAGTATAGTGCAATGTGTGACAAGTACAGTGCAATTGTGACAAGGACAGTGCAATGTGTGACAAGGACAGTTCAATGTGACAAGGACAGAACAATGTGTGACAAGGACAGTACAATGTGTGACAAGGACAGTGCAATGTGTGACAAGGACAATACAATGTAACAAGGACAGTGCAATGTGTGGCAAGTACAGTGGAATGTGTGACAAGGACAGTAAAATGTGTGACAAGTATAGTGCAATGTGTGACAAGGACAGTACAGTGTGTGACAAGAACAGTTGAATGTGTGACAAGGACAGTGCTTTGTGTGACAAGTACAGAGGAATGTGTCAAAAGGACAGTGCAATGTGTGACAAGGACAGTACAATGTGTGACAAAGACAGTAAAATGTGTGACAAGTACAGTGGAATGTGTGACAAGTATAGTGCAATGTGTGACGAGGACAGTACAATGTGTGACAAGAACAGTAAAATGTGTGACAAGTATAGTACAATGTGTGACGAGGACAGTGCAATGTGTGACAAGGACAGTACAATGTGTGACAAGGATAGTTAAATGTGTGACAAGGACAGTGCAATGTGTGACAGGGACAGTTAGATGTGTGACAAGAACAGTGCAATGTGTGGCAAGCACAGTGCAATGTGTGACAAGGACAATAAAACGTGTGACAAGGACAGTAAAATGTGTGACAAGGACAGTGCAATCAGTGACAAGTATAGTGCAATGTGTGGCGAGGACAGTACAATGTGTGACAAGGACAGTACAATGTGTGACAAGGACAGTGCAATGTGTGACAAGGACAGTACAATGTGTGACAAATACAGTGCAATGTGTGACAAGGACAGTGCAATGTGTGACAAGGACAGTACAATGTGTGACAAGGACAGTGCAATGTGTGACAAGGACAGTACAATGTGTGACAAGGACAGTGCAATGTGTGACAAGGACAGTACAATGTGTGACAAGGACAGTGTACAATGTGTGACAAGTACAGTGCAATGTGTGACAAGTACAGTGCAATGTGTGGCAAGGACAGTGTAATGTGTGACAAGGACAGTGCAATGTGTGACAAGGACAGTACAATGTGTGACAAGAACAGTAAAATGTGTGACAAGTACAGTGCAATGTGTGACAAGGACAGTACAATGTGTGACAAGGACAGTGCAATGTGTGACAAGGACAGTACAATGTGTGACAAGTACAGTGCAATGTGTGACAAGTACAGTGCAATGTGTGACAAGGACAGTACAATGTGTGACAAGGACAGTGCAATGTGTGACAAGGACAGTGCAAGGTATGACAAGGGCAGTACAATGTGTGACAAGGACAGTGGAATGTGTGACAAGTACAGTGCAATGTGTGACAAATATAGTGCAATGTGTGACGAGGACAGTACAGTGTGTGACAAGGACAATACAATGTGTGACAGGGGCAGTACAATGTGTGACAAGGACAATGAAATGTGTGACAAGTACAGTGCAATGTGTGACAAGTATAGTGCAATGTGTGACAAGGACAGTACAATGTGTGACAAGGACAGTACAATGTGTGACAAGGACAGTACAATGTGTGACAAGGACAGTACAATATGTGACAAGGACAGTGCAATGTGTGACAAGGACAGTACAATGTGTGACAAGTACAGTACAATATGTGACAAGTACAGTGCAATATGTGACAAGTACAGTGCAATGTGTGACAAGTACAGTGCAATGTGTGACAAGGACAGTGCAATGTGTGACAAGTACAGTACAATGTGTGACAAGTACAGTACAATGTGCGACAAGTACAGTGCAATGTGTGACAAGTATAGTACAATGTGTGACAAGTACAGTGCAATGTGTGACAAGTACAGTGCAATATGTGACAAGTACAGTGCAATGTGTGACAAGTAGAGTACAATGTGTGACAAGTACAGTGCAATGTGTGACAAGTACAGTGCAATGTGTGACAAGTACAGTGCAATGTGTGACAAGGACAGTACAATGTGTGACAAGTACAGTGCAATGTGTGACAAGGACAGTACAATGTGTGACAAGGACAGTAAAATGTGTGACAAGTACAGTGGAATGTGTGACAAGTATAGTGCAATGTGTGACGAGGACAGTACAATGTGTGACAAGAACAGTAAAATGTGTGACAAGTATAGTGCAATGTGACGAGGACAGTACA